TTTTTATTATTAAATAGATGTTTACACTTTGGGAATATTGAAAGGAAAAAAAATCTACGCAGCACATTGTATCTGGTGCTTGGCTAGTAATATCATATGATTTGCTAGGCCACTAGTCTGACTCTTTTAGCTATTATTTTTTTGTCTCATTTTGGCATTAATAAAGCAGTTGGAACAGATGCAGACACTCTTTATACAAGTGAGAAGATCTACATGGCAAGGGAAACTAAACTTTATGCCCAGATGTCATAACATAGGATCATTTAAATTCAAAGTCTATTTGACTGAAGCGCTGAACTGAATTGTCTACATAAAATCAGATGGCTGATTTAGATCAATTACTGATGTACTTGAATCAATTAAACAATGTGAAAGTCCTTCTCCACATGTGAAAAGGCCTCTTTTTCAAACTGATTGAAAAACTAATTAAAATTGATTTGGCAATCTTTACCAGATTGAATTGACAATTAGAACTGAATTGAAATTCAGACCGGATTAGATGTGGCTGCAGAGGACTGAACTCTTCAAATCTCTAGAGTCCCGATGATGGTATAACATCCTAAATGAGGTGCATGCTTGTTATATGCACACATTGACACAAAATGTATAGTCTCCACTGATGCACTCAAATTCTGCAAAGAAGCCATGTCCTGCTAGATTCATTTTTTGAGAATGTTAAGTTTGGAAAGCGCTAATGTGGTCTCCTTGTTCCACTGTCTCTTCCTTTGACTAGTCTAAAAACATCCATAGGGATGAATGTCAATCACTGAAGTTCCAAGAAAATACTAAGAACAGTCTTAAAATACAAAGGACCAAATGCGATGCAAGTTTATATGACCCATGTTGAAATCCCAAAAGCTCATGCTAGACTAGACCAAGAACAACTGAGCCCTGTGTTTGAAAAATGCCTATAATTTAATGTCAAGTATCTCCTTATAAATGAATGAGATTTGGCAGCTTTGGCAGATACTTGGTAGCGTTGGAACCAATTGTCACCAGGGCAATTCTTTTTCTTGGAAGATAGAAGAAATATTTGCTCATAAGTGTAAAAGAAGATCCACAACACACTATTTGTACAACTCTGAAATTGAGAAGGCAGCGAATCTGCCAGAATCTCATCTCATTAGTGTGTTTTGCAACAACTGTTTGGCTGAAATGATGTCAGCTGAATATAAAATCATGTCTTGAGGTGAAAGACCTGGCATAAAGATGATGCTGGGACAACTTTCTACCAAAATGATGTTGTAGGAATTCCCCAAATGGGGAAGGAAAGGAAGATTTATCTGCACCCGTGTTTTGATAGCGAGCTTGACAGGAAAGATATTTTCTCTCCAGTGAGATCTTTCTTTCAACTTCATTTTGGATTAGGGCAGAGCAGGAGCAGAACACTGGCCTGGACCTTGATTGGAAATGGTAATATAGCTAGCCTCCATTTTCTCAGGGGCACAAATTAAAAGTGCAGTGCCAGGGAACGGGTGAGAGTGGGCCCTAGCCAAATATATACTCTGTTGTAACAATTTGGGACAGCATTCTCTCCTTGTTCTTTCAGCCAGTTTCTTCACCCCACCCAAATCTTTTAGACTTGCTCTTTCTTTATAGACGTGGAAGATTTCATGTGCCATTCTTTGCAGCTAAAGAACGCAGCTCCAGCCTGACTTTTGACGTGTCCTCTCTGATCACATTTATCAGTGCAGTACACTTGAGTATTAAATGAATCTCCCACTATAGGGTCTGTCAGCCCTCTTTCTCCCACCCCTTCTCAAGTTTTAAATTCCCCCTGCTAGTGTAAAACTTAATGAAAGCCCTGGAGTATACAATAGCATTTTTGAAAACAGAAATCTGTAGCTGCTGTGAATCATCACTCACAGCAGGGACCCAGAAATGTGAATTGTGGGAGGAACAAACAGAGAGCCCTTCTCTTTTTTACTGGGAATTTATTACAGGCGTGTCATTATTTACAATGCACCATTCACATCCTCTAAAGAGCCAATAAACTGGCTGCTGAATATGCATTCTGCTCTGTGGTTGAACACAGATGTTTCCAGCTAATATCCATTTCATTTAATTTCTTTTCTTTCCTCCCTTCCCCCTCATTTTTAACATAATATCTATCTTGCTATTTCTGTAGCAGCTGGGTAACTATTCACCAGTCTTCTGTTTCCAAATCACTCTTTATCCTTATTCTGGTTGGTGCAATTCATGTTGTGGTACTTAAAAATCTGTTGGTATTTCCCATTATTTAGTGCTGTTTTTCAGACTTCAAAATTCATCTGGTAAAACACACTTTTGCAGAGAGAGAGAAAGAGAGAGGGAGGGAGGGAGGGAGAGGGAGGGAGAGATATTTGATTAAAATGATTAGCAATGGTTTGTGAATGAATCCACTTTTTTTTTTACTTAGCTATAATTTAAAACATGGTTATATTACATAAATACAGAGCAATCAGAAATCACCAATTCCACTCACCATTGCCTATTATATGGAGTGCCATCTAGTTTCATGAAATTCAGTGGAAGTTTTGTAACTGATGGCAGTAGGAGATCAATTGCTCTCAAGAGATGCTAACTTGCTTATTCCGTACAAATTGGAGTTAGGGGAAGCTAGAGTTGTGACCTTCCAGAAGTAATGCTGGTGCTTTTATGAATAGTGCTGGGAAACCTCCCCCAGTCTTCTGATAATGAGATCTGGGCAAGCTAAAACAATGATGTCACAACTCTAGTAACTTGAAACTGTGCATAGGCTCCATGGGATGGCATATGGCAAAATAGAATGTATTAAAAAATTTCCATCTTCAGATCGTAGAGCTTTAGATAATGGCAGTTACTTGTTTGTAATTTGTGTGAAAGCTATCAGGAATCCTAGGAAAGCAAAATGGCCAAGATTGATAGCTGAAGTATGCATAGATCAGAATGAAGAGAGGGGGCAACCTCAAAGCACCTGAAGGAAGTACAAGAAGCAATTAATGGAAACTAACAAGAAGAAAACCAACCCAGAACTAAGAAGAAATTTCCTGACAGAGTGATTAATCAGTGGAATGACTTGCCTCCAGAAGTTGTGGGTGCCCCAACACTGGGGGTTTTAAAAAAGAAATTGGATAGCCAGTTGTCTGAAATGGTATAGGGTTTTGTGCTTGAGCAGACCTCCAAGGTCTCTTCCAACACTGTTATTCTGTTATTTACTTACAGGTCTGCCATATCTCAGCTGCAAAAATAAAAATAAAAAAAAATCGGGATGACAGTTTGGTTGCAGCAAAGAGTTAGAATTTTCAGTATGTCTTTGCTGCCAATTGTGATTGTATTTTCAGTCTATATATGGTAAACCTAGATTGGTGTTTCTCAACCTTGATGACTTTAAGATGTGAGAACTGCCTTTTGACTTTCTTTCTGGATGGGGAATTCTGGGAGTTGAAGTTCACACATTTTAAAGTTGCCAAGGTTGAGAAACACTGGGCTAGCTTTATGCTTATCAATTCATTTTTACTATTTTAGAATCATGTTATTTGCACATTCACAAAATGACAACTATAAAATACATTGTCTTGCTTCATAATGGTTGTCTTCATGGTTGCGGTCAATCAAAACCTACTTATCAGAAAGTGGTATTATTTCATCTCCATTCACTTCCATCCACCTAAGTACTATCTTCTACTATCCTAGAAACCTTTTTTCTGGACAGGTGGGTAGATGGCCAAATAAAGGAGAAAGTTGCTACCATCATCCGTTTTTATTTATTTATTTTATTTTTATTTTCTAAGAATGCCTGTGAGGCTCAGTTGCATTTGTGGAACTAAAGAGAATGCTGATGGTTGGCATTTTCCTTTGCCAGCACTCCATTATTATTGTTTTTTTTAATTAAAAGAATCAAAACAAACTGTCGAAGAGCCAGACTAGTCCTAAGAGAGATATTGGGCACATTGACACATTGGCATCCGTGGGCACCACATTACCTATGCCCACGAAGTATAATTACTACAGAAGAGAAGTGAGTCATTTTTCCATCTGGTATTCTCTGTAATAACAATGTAGTATCCAAATTAACCTTGAGTCCCACTGAAATAAAGGACCTAATTGCCAGGGAAATTTGGTCTGCCTACACTGCATGTACTATATAAGTAAGAACTTTGACTAGCACTCTAGTGACATAGTAAGTGACAAACTTTAACAGGCCATTCTAACATATTAACGTCCACTGGGTTTTTCAGTGGAACTGCTTAGTTATAGATTTTAATAATGATAAATGACCAGGTATGTGGGGAAATTAAATAGCGCACTTCTAACAATCCCCAAGACGTTATATGCATGATAATAAAAGTTTTAAAAGTCTCTTGGTTCTGATCTTAATATATTGGAACAATGTCTGTACATATGAAGGTCTACCAAGGCAGCATATTGCATATTTGGTAGTCTCCGAATTCTTCTTCTAGGCCATTTGTGTGTGTGTGTCTGTGTGCATTTGTGTGTGTTTTCTTCATGCAATATTCCTCACTCCTTCCTTCTCTTTCTCTAACACAAACAAAAAAGACTTTCTCTTTCTCTGTGGAAATACAGATGTCCCAAAAATGAAAATATAGTGTCTGTGACAGATTCACTCATCCTATAGATAAACTTCTCCCATAATATTTCATACCCGTATATAATGTTTGTTTTTTTAAAAAAGTTCTATGAATCCATTTAAACCATTCTATTTAAGGAGAACTTGATGATCTATGTGTTTAAAAAAGTTTTATAAAACAATAACAATTGTCTGATATAGTTTCTATTTAGAAATTTTTTTAAAAGTCCCTGATGTATGAAATTGCAATATTTATCCAATATATACTGTATATTCAAGACTCGCTGAATATAATTATCACCGAAATCATTACACATTCAGAGAATGTAATAATTGCTCAAATAGCTTTATTACAAAAGAAGAGCAGACAATGAAAAATCCACTTCATCGGCAAATGAAGATGGAAGCAAAAATCTTTCATTCTCTGTCTCTCTTTTTTTTTCTTTTTCAGGAAAAGGCCACCTGTCATACCTGAGTTGTTTTTGCAAATGTTCATCTTGCCATGGAGTGAATTATCCAAACAAGTCATCAAAAAAAGAAAAAAGAAAAAAAAAAAACTTGTTTACATTCTTATTGAAAAACATCTTCAGGTACACATACAATCAATTCACAAAAAGAATTTCTTCAGAGGTTCAAAAGGCAAAGTATAGTTGTATAAGTGCAGGCTGAATTGCCATTTTGTGTCACCCATGTGCAATTTTTCAATACAAGTTCCTTTTTGGGTATTACAGGAAATGTGATCAACTCAGCTAACAGATAATACAGCCAATAGTTTCTTCATCGTTTCTGAAGTGACCTTGCTGTAATAAAATTTTCTGAGTTTCGATCTTCACTTTTCCTGCTAAGCAACTTTATGGGAATTTTGGAAATAAAATAAGAGAAATATACTTCTGAATGCTTGGGTATAACAAAGTAATTTGCGTCAGCTGGAATATGCGTGAGGTGCCTCCTTGAATTTATATTTATTTGGTTTCTCAAAGATCAGAAGTTATTAATGCTTTTGTGTACATACTTGCTACATACATGACAAACCACACATAACCTCACATGTAGGGCAAGTGTAAAGTCTGCATTTAAATGAGGTGCAAATTAGACCCCCTAAAAACGAGAAGCTGTTTGATCATCACCCCTATTATCGCAGAACTTCCTCATTTTACATCGGATGATTTTCTTCCATGAACTTAAGAGTGTTAACAACACTTCATGTGAACACGTTCTGTCTCATTCTTTCCTTGAGGCCAATAATGTTGAATAATAAATCCAGAGCTACCACAGTTTAACCGGTATTCTCTAGCCTGGAAATTATATGATAGCTAATAATTTACAGGAGAACAGCAAAGGCCAGCAAGGCAAAGGTGGACAGGGAAGAGATTGTCACGACAACTATAGTTTGTGGCAGAGGGTCTGCGCGTAGTGTATATATACACCAAGGTCAGTAGACTGGATGCAGTTATCTGGCTGTCTCTTTGAAGCAGGATTGCCATGCTGAAACCCTAATTAAACCCAGGGTGTGAATCCCCAGGGAGCCATGACAGAAGGCTGTGTTTACTAACCCACTACCACAATCAATGCCATGTGACTATATTCTTCTGGCAGCTGCATACAAAGAGCTGCCTGTGCAATTTTGAGGACTTGGGTTTTCTCTGTCATGGCACTTGTCTTTTAGATGCTAGGTAGGAGTGTCAGAACCTCAGCTAAGTGGAACTTGTGATTATTTGAAGCACTGGCTAATTAACAGAAGCAAAAAGGAAGAGAAACTGCGGTTGATTTGCATGTAGCATCCCTCAATTGAGCCAGGGAGGAAGGAGATCAAGATATTATTTTTCTTTTAATTCATCAACCTATAGGAGGGGGGGGGACCAGACATCCCCAGAATCAGAGCAAAAAACACAAGAATGGTTTGTGAAAAATCAGTTTTAATAAAGCTCCGGCATAACCATGGATATAAAAGTATTCACACTGTTGGCTTCTGTATAAGATTATTTGTTAGACTTCCTTGTCTCCTTTTCTCTTAAGGAGGGGGAGGGGGGACCCTAAAATTAGACGAAACCAGAGATATAAATGCAGGGAATAGAATAAAGCAAAATAACTCCAGGGTGTTCATCTGCCATAGCAGTCATTTCATATCTCATTTGTTATATGAATGTGATAGCTACTTCCCTTTTTGATAGTATCATTATGTAGACTCTGCAGATTCAATTCCATTTACAAGTCAATGGTGTGAGATTTTATGACAATTCTTTTTACTGAGTTGATTCTGTGTGAACCTCAGCAGTACAAAAAAATTGCACACAAATGAGCAATTTTTTTGCCATAAGGCTCTGTTGAAGTGGATGCAGCTGACCATTGTTTTTTTTTTTCTCCATGCCAATTGTATTTTTTCCTTTTCTAGGTCCAGTATACACACCAGTGGTGGGTTTCAAATTTTTTTACTACTGGTTCTGTGGGTGTGGTTTGGTGGGTGTGGCATGGCTTGGTGGGCATGGCGGGGGAAGGATATTGTAAAATCTCCATTCCCTCCCCACTCCAGGGGAAGGTTACTGCAAAATCCCCATTTCCTCCTGATCAGATGGGACTCGGGAGGCAGAGAATAGGTGGGGGAGGCACCAGTCAGAATTTTTACTACCAGTTCTCCGAACTACTCAAAATTTCTGCTACCAGTTCTCCAGAACTGGTCAGAACCTGCTGAAACCCACCTCTGATACACACCCCATTTGCATACCTACAAATGAGTCAAAAAAAGAGTTCTTTCCAGATAAAAGGGCTGTGTCATTCAATCTATAAAACTTAGGTTGATGATGGAGGCATTGCTAAAATATTATTTGCCTGTTCTCCAGAAACTTTGCATAAGCAATTAAAGATTTAAGAACAAATTTATTATTTTTTTAAAATCAAACTGTGTTTTTGTATATATTTATAGAGAGTGATTAACCATTAGCTAAATTTCAAACTATTCAAAGAAGATGCTAGCTGGTGCATCTTCTTTTCTTTTACTTACTGTAAAATAAGTTCAGAAACCTTAATAAGGAGGGAACTTTGGGAGTTTTCTTCCTACTTTGTTCCCAAAGAATATATTCTATTTACTATGCTAAAGTGATCCATTTGCTTACGTGGATATCTTTCCTATTTTGTCAAAGGATTTAGATTCTGCTTTTTGTTTTTGTTTTTAAAGCATGGTTTGGCTTGAGAGAGAAGGAAGTTAATGGAGAATTAGTGGGATGGCATGCTTTAGGAAACATAAGTAAAGGACATGAACTTATTCAAATCTTTGAAGATGTAAAATGAAGTTTCTGAATGTAATATTTACATATTGGCTATTTTTCTTCCATGCCAAGCAGAACTAGAGGCTTTTAAAATTAATGCTAAAGCCAAAAAGTACAAGGATATGGTATGGCACTGCACTTCACTAATTCAATTTTCTTAAAGTTCTTAAAGTCTATAACTTCTTTCTAGGTGAAAAACAAATCTCTTTTGTTTGTGATGGGTTGCTTTGAATTGCTTCTTGCATATCAAACTTTTCAGAGGTCATTCTAATATGGATTGGGTGTTAAACCATGACATTTTAAGCCATTGGCACTTTGATTTAAATAATGCTTATTTAAAAAGGTTTCTAATAGAGATTTTGCCTCCTTTAAGTAGATAAACGAATACCAATCATAAAGCCATTTAATAAATGTATTGCTTGTTTGTTTGTTTTTTCAAATCATGTATCACTCTGATATACAGAACTGGCCACTCTTCCTCCTTTGTGTATATACTGTATAATCATTAGCAGGCCAGCCTTTCTGTTGGCTAGATTTCTGATCTATGCCCAAAATATTTGGAAACTTGAAGATTTAGGTCTCTGGAACTAAAAGAATATTGTTGACTGGAAGAAACAGATGCGTTTCTGTTTCTTTGGATTTGCTTATATTTAACACCAGAAATCTCTTTACTCAGTCATCTTGCTCTTTCTCCCTTCTTTATGTCTTCAGGGATTTTACAATATTGCTATCACTAAAGAAGATTCCTATCACTAGAAAAATGAAAAAGGTAATTATACACTCCTAGCCTAAAATGGAGACATTTCAGCACAGATAAACACATCTTGTGTAGCTTCGATGATCACTGGATCTCTTTTCCTGGTCCTTTCTCTGTTTCTCTAAAGTGTCCAATTGTGCAAGCTGAAAGGGTTTGGGGCAGAGCCTGGAAATATTACATAATCTGTGAATAGGAATTCCCCAAAGACCTGTACATTTCCATAGTTACTGGTTGTTCCAAGGTATCCCATAACGTGTTGGTGTTTCTGATAATGAAGGTGTCCTAGGCTAGATTTATTAGCTTTCTACCTGTTGCAGAAATGTCTTAACAACTCTGAAAGCAGAGTGTCATAGTGAAGCCCAAGGGTGTGATGCCAATTCCCAGAAATACAGCTGCATTCTGAAGGTTTTTACAGCATTTTTTGGGAGCTACAAGAATGCTATCATTTTGCAGCTTTAGGCCAATTCACTTGTGCGAGAAGATAATTCCCTGAATCTTGTACATGTTGGCATATTTTTTTTTCTGTGCAGGAGGTCTCTAAATTCTAAAAAGCTGACAAACTTTGGCCCTGCACTGTCCTTTGTTTCAATGTTGTTTAGGTGAACATCCTCACCCTACATAGCCAGGGTCTTTCTGCTAGGGTCAAAGTAAAAATGTAGGATTGAGTCTCCATTCAAGAAAAAAGAGAACAGAAGAATTCTTACAATTTCTATAACTGTCCAAATCAAAAATAAGACTTAACATTGATATCACTCCAAGGAAATCCATATGAGATACAGATTTATTAATAATGTTGTGCATATTTAGCTTGGCAATTTTCGCTTTGAAACTTGGTAGGACTTATTTCTGAAAAGATACACAAGATCTTAGTTCTATTATGCCAGGTCATGCTGTACACTCCTTTTATATGTTATGTTATGACAAATAAGAACATGTAAGAAATAAATAAATAAATTCAACTGCTTTTACTACCTAGCAAGTGTTATGGAACTGCAGCTATTATTCCTCAGGAAGTATTATTAATTCAGAGGAAGCCCATTTATAGACTTAGCTGTAGCATTTACCACTCTATGGTGCTTTACAGCCCTCTCTAAGCAGTTTACAAAGTCACTATATTGCCCCCAACAATCTGGGTCCTCATTTTACCAACCTCAGAGCTGAGTCAACCTTGAGCCAGTTAGGATTGACTCCTGGCTGTGGGCAGAGTTAGTTTGCAATACTGCATTCTAACCACTGCATCATCACAGTTCTTTCAGCCTGGGCATACAAACTGCATATAAATCAAATTATTACACAGCCCCTTCCAAAAATAGGTGATTGGTTGTTTTTTTTAAAAAAATCACAGTTACATTGATTCCAGTCACTCTACTTTCACATTCAAGTCACTTTTCCTCTTATCCTACCAAGTCTTTGGCATTGCTTTATTTTTCTTCTGACGGTTCCTTCTCTGGCTGACTATTTGGAGAGTCAGTTGAAAAAAAGCTTCAACCTCTGTTAGACTGTTGCTTTTCTTCGCTCATTGCCACCTTCCAGGAGAGGTGGGCAGCATAAAAGTTGAATAAATAAATAAAATTGCTTTCCTTAGGGAAAAAATATTTTCTTCTGTCCCTCTTATAGCTGTCTCTGTTTCTCTTCTTTACTTCCCTGCTATTCCTCTTCAAACTTCCATGCTTTCTTCCATGGACTTGAGTCTTCTTCTTTCCTTCCTTCCTTCCTTCCTTCCTTTTGATGAAATGGTTGTATCCAGACACAAGTGTTTGTTCCTGCTTCAGTGGCAAATCCCATCATCTGTTATTTCTGTCAGAGCTGTTT